AAATGTGGGAGCGACGGGACCGGGAGTGGGGCGGCGGGGTAGGGTGCCGGCGGGGCAGGGTGAGGAGGAGGCGGGGCCGTAGGGCGCCGCGCCTTGTCTTGAGCGAAGCTAGCTGTCAGTGTCAAAGACAGAGATCGCATATTTACAGGGCGGTAGGGGCCGCCTGGCTGCGCAGGCCTGTCAGCAAAGGGCTGAGCAAGGCGAGGCGTGCCGGGGCGGCGGAGCAGGGCAGGGGCGTTGGGGGCGAGTTTGTCTCAAGAGTTTCGGGGGGTGGTTGGTGGAGCGGCGGCAGCGGCGGCGGCAGCAGCCGCAGTGAGACGGTCTATTTTCTATCTTCGTCGCCCCCGCGGGCGCGGCGGTCCGCTCTCCGTCCCCCTCCCACTCGCAACAGGGGCGGAGCCAGGCGGGCGGGCGCTCGGGGAGAGAGAACGTGCGGAAGCAAGTACAGTCAAGCAGCGAATAGTAATGCGTAGGGGGGAAGAGAGAGACAGAGAGAGATGGGGAGAGTGCGGGAGAGGGAGAAAGGGAGAGAGAGAGAGACAGACAGAAGAAGGGGAGATGTAGGGGAACGATATGGGAGACCTAAGAGAAAGGAGGGAGAACGAGAAGCGAGTTGTGTAAGAAAAAGAGTCTAACAAAAAAAATTGTCAGTACAAAAAACGGTGTCACAATATACATTTAAAAAAAACAAAAATTTGTGTTTTCGTAGCAGAGGTTGACAGCAAATGTCAAAATGTGTGCGTTCTCCATCTTCACAGCACATGCGACGCCGTGCTCGCCCCGCCACGCCCCGCCCCGCCCCGCCACGCCCTCGCAATCACACAGTCGTACGGCATGCAGCGCTGCGTCCGCCGCAATGACCCCACTGCAGCCAGCCTTGATTGACTTTAGGGAGGCATCGTAATGAAGGTTGCACGTCGCTGCCTCCCTCGCTCTCTCTCGCTCCCCTTGCTCGCTCCTCCCTCGCTCCCTCCCCGCGGGCCCCGCCCCCTCGTCAACACGGCATTGAAATCAACCCTTCTCCCCTCAAACCAGATTAAGTTCGCCAACAATTTGATTTAAGCATTTTTGTGAGTGCGTTGGCTGCTTGCGTCACCCCCGCCGACCCCGGAGGCCGCCGCCCCGCCCCGCCGCTTAGCACGCCGACGGCGGCGGTGGCCGCGCCCGCCCCCGAGGCCCTGGGGGGCGGGGCGGGAGCGGGGGTGGCCGCCGGGAGGTGGCAGCGCGCGGGGCGGCGGCAGTTCCCCCAGGAGACCGGTCCACCGCCTCCTCTGCACCACGGCGATAATGGGTAAGCCCTCCGCGCCGCCCCCAGCCCCGCCCCCGCGCCGCCCCCGGCACGGCTGGTCCGGCTTGAGCCCCGGATCTGGCCGCAGCTCCGCCCTTATCCAGACGAGACAGTCACGCCGGCGAGATGATGAAGCGCCGGTGTCTGTACGCACCACCACGAGCTCATCCTGTTCGCTGCAGGCCGAGGAGCAGGGATTTCAATTTTCCTGAAAAATGTTTCCAGAAAAAAAAAAATTAACATTTTTGTTGGCAGATTTTTACTTTCTTCTAAGCAAGTTATACACAATGAAATTTTTCTAAAAGAAAACAACAAAAAATCCCGATTTATCTGGAAAAGCCCCGAATTTTTCCTGAAAATCACTTATTTTTTAATCCCTACCGAGGAGAGGACCGCCGCTGCTTCCCCACACCTTCTTCAACAGCATAAATCCCTCCACAGAGTGTATGATTTCTAGCATTTTCAACTTTCCGCTGGGCGAGCGCCTGCGGTGTGCGACGTAGGCCACCGTCCGCCGGTGGGGTAGGCAACTCTGCGGCGCGCGTGTGGCGCGGAACAGTCGGGCGCGCAGGGGCCCCGGCGGCAGCCCCGGCGGCAGCCCCGGCGGCGGGCACAATGACCCAACAGCTGACTGGCAGCGGGGTGGAGGGGGAGGCGGAGGCTACTTGCTTTGTTGAATATAGGCTGCTGCTGGCAACCGGCTGGCGCGCACACACTGAACGATCAACAGGCAGACAACAAAGGTGGTCTTCTCTCAGTCGGAAGTACACGAGCTTTTCCATGCCAATAATACCGTGCCACAATCCCAAGATTACTGTTCTCGTCACTGTTTGCAAATGACCATGCTGCTATCAGAACTGTACCGACACCCTTCTTAGGAAATACCTACGGTTTTAAGCAGCAGATAAAGTACTTGTTTGAGACCTATTATGTGTATTTTTATAGTAACCCGTATGGAAACAAAAACTGTCCAAAAATTTGACTGGCCAAAGTGTTCAAAAAGTATACTTAAATTATGCCAAAAGTGCTAGCAAAGTGTGGCAATGCCGATCTAGCCAATCTGCTAGACTTTGGGTATACTTTTTACAAATAAAAGTGTTATTTCGCTAGACTTATTTCCATGCGGGAAGTATTTTACCTATAACAGAAACAGTCGGTAATGTAAGAAGAAATCAAAGACCAAGTTTTTAGTAGCTCATGAAGCTTTTTCAAGACCAGAAATACCGACAAAGGGTTTAGCCAAGCGGAAGATACACTGTTAAAAAATTTGCTTTTTGAAAACAAGCAGAAAAGCAACAAAAGTGGGTTTAACCCAAAACAATGAATTTGTTGTATTGTGATAAGACAACTAAACAAACAAAAGCTGTTGAAAAACATTGCTTCTTTCTGAACAACCTATTTGTAACAGAACAGCAGACTGCACCCAGAGAATAGTTTAGGCGACCAAATTCAGAACCGACAAAATTTTGGGTCTGTGGACTCGATTTTAATCACACTGATTTTTATTCAAATTACCTTAGTTTTGATACACGTGACCAAATTTAGTTAAAAGTAAAGGTACTAATTCGTAGTTAAAACACAGGCTGAACAACTCACGAACTACTTTGTTGAAGACTAAAGGATTATTTTCACAGTGCTAAAACAATATTTCTCCCCTACAAACTTTTCCGCGTGGGTCCCATAAATTTGTCTTGGCGTTTGGTCGGGCGAGGCGCCGGGGATAACCTCAAGACCAGCTACCGGATGTACGGCTGTGAAATTCAAAGTCCCTCTTGCTCCTTCCACTACCCCCATCCCTCCCACTCTCTCTCTCGGCCTCGCCAGCCAGGCGTGGAGGGGAGTGGCTTGCTTGGGACGTAATGAATGGACTAGGGAAAGCAATAATAATTAATCGCGCTAAAATTTCCTCTCTGCGGCACGTGGGGTCGTCGCCGGCGCCCCGCCCTCTCCGCCTCCCCCTCTCGACCTCCTCCTCCTCCGGCCCCGGCCCCGTCTTCCTCCTCCTGCTCCACCTCCACGAAGACGCCGCTGTGTTGCGGATGTCAGGGCCCATGGAGCACACGGGAGAGGGAAGCTGGGGATTTGCCCCTGTGATCCTTGCTCGATGTTACCGTGCGCGGGGCGGGGTGTGGCGTGGCGTGGCGGGGTGGAGCTGCGGGCCCGACCGCAGAGAGGGGCCACAGCGCCACAGCCACACGAGTGCTTTCACTTATCACTCGTCCCCCGCCGCGAGGTCGACGCGTGGCGGGGCGGGGCGCGGGCGGGGCGCGGGCGGGGTGGGCCGCCTCTGCCTTCTTGGGGCGGGTCGCCGAGCCCGTCCGCCGCCCACCAGCATCAGGAGTCGGCAAGTGACATGTCCTCGCAAAGGTCGAGGGACCGTCGCGAAGCGCCCGGAATTATTTTTTTCGGAAATAACACAGAATAAACATAGCAATTTTTGTAATACCGTTTTATACTTTACGTTTACATTTACGCAATAGACAATTGAATTTTACGAGAAAACGTTTCCTGTTTGGAATTTTATTTTAAATAAATAAAAAATTGCAAATAACACGTGTATAATTTGATGTTACAAAACTCTGTGGCGAATGATTCACCAACATGACCCAATCCAACCACCTCAAGGGTCTCCTCCAGAGTGGGCTCCACCGCCTCTGAACAAAGGCTTTTGGGCGGGCTGTTCAAACAGGCCGTTGCCGCTGATTTTATTTGTCCTCTCCTCTCGCGATTTAAAGCCGGCCCGCGCTCTGGTTGGCGGCGCCCCCCTGGCCTGCGCGTGACGAGGTCCCGCCACGTGTGCGGTGGCGCCGCGCGGCGACACACGTGGCGACACGCGACCGAGGCACGCGGCGGCGGCAGCAGCAGCAGCAGCAGCCACCCCTCAGGGAGCGCCGCCGCGCCCCGCCCTGTCCACCGCCGTGGATTTGATCGAGTCGTTGATACGACCAAGCTGTTCATCAAGCATTCGCACTCCATCGCATCACGGAGACGTCACGTCAGGGCCTGCCTGCCTGCCTTGCGGGGACGCCGGTGGTGCGGCGTGGCGGGGCGTGGCGGGGCGGGGCGGGGCGTGTGGG